AATAATAATAATAATAATAATAATAATAATAATAATAATAATAATAATAATAATAATAATAATAATAATAATAAATAATGATGATGAACACTCGTATGCTACTTTTGTTCGTTGGGAAGGAAAATGCCCTTCTTCAGATGCCTTGTCTTATGCCTTTCCCCATTTTTGATTTGAGCAAGCTTTGCTTCCAAATCCCTGTGTAACATCCGCATACAGTAGTTTCGATGAAATCTTGATCCGATCGCTTGACAAAAGATGACAAATTATGGTAATGTCTATTGATAAGAGATTTAATCTGCTATGAGTCATGATATCGTCTTTTACGTCTAGATTTGAATTACTTTAAACCTCGCATAATCATCAGAAACAAAAAAATTAGCTAGACAAAAACCTTTTGTTAATTAATCTTAACAGCTCTATTCTTATTTCTGCACATTCACTCAAATATGATATGTCTTCCGTGCATCATTGCATTGCTCATCTCACAAATACGTATTACTTCCACTTCTGTACACGATCGAATTTTACAAATCCCGACTTATGGTTATGCCTCATTTGTTCAAATCGCCTATCGTACGATCATCGATTCTTTAGAAAACGTCGGCTGAGGATCAAGGCAAAACAATAAATATGTCATTTGTTACATTTGTTCGGTAATTAGCCCATGCTATATTTGAATTAAAACTATATTACTAATAACGTTAATTATTTTGTTTACAAATGATCTACCAAAATTCTACCATTATTATTTATTATCGTTATTGTTAAAAACTGATGATTTTTTTTAGACGGAAAAGGCCAGTATCTTGTCTGGAATCCAGACTCTATCTTAACACAGAAAAAGCCCCATTATCAAATTCTATCACCAAACCGCGCTATACTTTTCGAGTAGATCTATAATTATGTTTATATTACATGATATATTTTGAACTTGCTCACAACAACCCAGACTCCTTGTATCTTAATAAATTATTACACAAAAAAGGTCAAAACCGCGACTGATAATATTGTTTTATCGCATTGTCAACCTGTCTAGAACGCATACCCTTATATGCTATCGTTCTATCAATGAATCGAAATATACTTTGCTGATAATATTTACGCCATGTTGATCTACACAGATAAATTACTTAAGCTTTTCTTATACTACATCGATACCATACTCCCCATATTATATAATAACCCCACACCTGTCAACCAGTGTGAATATACTTTGTGTTATCGACGCATCTACCATCGCTATCTTCATTTTTCACTAACTTTATTATGATCGCGACACTTTCTACTGTAGTTTACGTGGTCTCTCTATCTGAAGAAAAGAATACGAAATACACAATACAACGGGGACAAGCTATTTCAAAAACAAACAACGAAGGAAATTTCCAAATCTACAATTTCACCAGTTGGATTCCTCTCTCTCGATCCAAAGATGCAGATGAATTTTTCCCCTTGCAACCGTTACTTCCAGAATCAGTTTACCAAATTAATGGTAAATTTACTTTATCCAGTGATGGTTCTATTAGTGTCACTATCATCACAAGTATTCATCTCGCCTTACACGAAGACCAAATTCTTGTTTCCAAACCCATCATTTCTTTGGTTGGAAATATCAGTGCAGAAGTAAGCCTAACGGAGTCGACGTACCATTTACCACTTCTAATAAAACCGTATATATCAGCCGACTCGTACGATCCGATGACGGTTACACTACTTCACCCCTCAGAAGGACGACTGA